AAATGACTGATCAGTTGGGCAAGGTGGCTCATGCCTATAATCCTAGCACTTTGGGACACCGAGAGAGGAGAGCTTGAGCTCGAGAGTTCAAGACCAGCCTGAGCAACATGTTGAGACCCTGTCTTTACAAAAAATTTAAAAATTAGCCGGACATGGTGGTGCACACCTGTAGTCCCAGCTAATTGTGAGGCTGAAGCTGGAGGATCCCTTGAACCCAAGAATTGAAGGCAGCAGTGAGCTTTGATCATGCCACTGTACCCCTGCCTGGGTAACAGAGTGAGACCCCATGTTAAAAAAAAAAAGAAAAGTAGCTGGTTGGTTAACATAGGTTACTTCAGGCAACCATTTTTGTGTGAGGGTTAAAGCAGAGGGAACTTCATTATCATGCTGTTTGAAGATTTAAACTGTCCTGTTTGGGAAATTGGTTGTTCTCTCCTGATTTCTTAGAAGATCAGATAGCTTAGTTTAGGTTTAAGGATGTAGAACTTAACATGAATGACTCCATTTTTATTTGTAGTCTGATCTGTTGGGGTCTAGCATAGGAGTTTAGTGGCCTCCTATAATTTTTTACTTAAAAGTATACATCATATGAATGAATATTTGCCAAGAACATGAAAGAGAAGCGTTCCTTTCAAATAGCTATGTTTCATTGAAATGAATTAATCCAGGCATGGTGGCTTATGCCTGTGATCCCAACCCTTTGGGAGAAAAGGTGGGAGGATTACTTGAGGCTTGGAGTTTGAGACCACCCTGGGCAACATAGCAAGACCCCCATTTCTACAAAAACTAAAAATTAAAAAAAAAAAAAAAAGATATGTAAAGCAATCAGAAAATACAATAAAATGTTAAATTATACATTGGCAGCAAGTACTTAGAATCTACAGCGTGGGTTTTCCTCATCTAAACTCACCTCTGAGGAAAAAGCAGACTTTTGTATTTCCAAAATTGTTTCTGGTTATGCTTGTTTTTGTTTTGGTATAAATAGGGACCTAGAATTATATTTCCAGTGACCTTTAGCCTCTATCTCTAGGAAAGTGGAACTGAATAGGTACTCTTTTGTTCCCACAGCAGACTAAAGGAAATTCGGTGTAGCAAGAATGTGAATAATTGAAATATGTTTGGAGTTTATAGATCTAAACTCTGATGAGAAAATATAGTCTTGTGTGTTTGGTTTGGCTGTGCTGTTTTGAGTTAATTTTAGGGGTAACTTTGAGAATCAGTTTTAGAATTCCAGCCCCAGATAACAGTCTTTTGCTTAGTCATGGGTTAGGTATAATGCCACACGATCCTGAGAAGACTAGGAATGGTTGCTATTTATTAACCTTGGTTGGCAGTGATACTTGAGAAGAAAAAATAACCACCATACATTCATAAAGGTTAAACTGTTGCTATGTTTAAAAATCGTATTTGCCTTGATACCTGGTAAGCTTCACTAATCTTTTAAGGAATCATCAGATGTGATGTATTTGAGAATAAGACAGTAAAGGCTTCCAAATGCTAACAATTTGTTTCTTAAGTTTTGTGGCATTTTGCTTTATTTTCTATACTTTTTGTTATGGGAGCACTGGTAACTTCCTGATCTTGAGAAATAAAAGAACCAGAACAGAGTAATTTTTTAGAAAACTCTGTTTCTACAGTTTTAAATAGTCTCAAGGGAACAATAATATGTTTCATGTGACAAATTAATATGGACAGGAAGAAGGATTCCCTCAACATTCTCCACTCTTAACCCATATGAGTAAAGCTGAAGGAAAAGGGAGTGACCTCTGTGTTTCTGGCCTTTGAAATATTTTTTAATGATTAGAAAATTGTTTCATAGAGTGGGCATGGTGGCTCACACCTATAATCCCAGCATTTTGAGAGGTCAAAGTGGGCAGATAACCTGAGTTCAGGCATTCGAGACCAGCATGGCCAACATGGTGAAACCCTGTCCCTACCAAAAATATAAAAATTAGCCAAGGATGATAGCAAGTGCCTGTAATCCCAGCTACTCAGGAGGCTGAGGCAGGAGAATCACTTGAACCCGGGAGGCAGAGGTGGCAATGAGCTGAGATCGTGCCACTGCACTCTAACCTGGACGACAGAGACTCTCTCAAAAAAAAAAAAAAAAACCTGTTTCATGAAAACTGGTTTGCAAGTAGTCTTACTGGATTCAAATAATAACATATTATTATTCAGACATCAGCAGAAAGAAAAATTTTCTTCTCTTCCACCACTCCTTTTTTTAGTTATCATGCCAGTAAATTTGTATTTTACCTGCGTGTGAAGTCAATAATCAGAACATTTACTACTTGTTTTATTTTACAGCAAGAATTTATAATGTCTATAAAATTCACATGAGGGCAGTCAACTTTCTGTCAATAGTGTCTTTGCCTGAAGGTAGTGACCCTTTAATCTGATGTATTAGTGAAAATGTATATACTGGTGAGGGATATAGGTATATATAAAGAATTGCTTTTTCATCTGTGGATGGCAAAAAAAGGCACTTTGGTCTCTTTATAAGAATAATATTTAAATTATAGGTAAAGGTTTCAATGTATTCCGTCTTGAACATGGGAAATGTTAACAAGAAGAATCACTGGGCTGGGTGCGGTGGCTCACTCTTGTAATCCCAGCACTTTGGGAGGCTGAGGCAGGTGGATCACCTGCAATCCCAGTACTTTGGGAGACTGAGGTGGGTGGATCATTTGAAGTCAAGAGATCGAGACCAGCCTGGCCAACATGATGAAACCCTGTCTCTACCAAAAATACAAAAATTAGCCAGGCATGGTGGCACATGCCTGTAGTCCTAACTACTCGGAGGCTGTGGAAAATTTCAAACATATACAAAGTAAACAGAATAATGTGATGAACTCTCTTGTATTCATCACCTTGCTTTAGAAGTCAAGATGCTACTACTCTTTTACTTTTTTTTTTTTGAGCCCCAGTCTCACTAATGTCGCCCAGGCCGGAGTGCAGTTGCACAATCTTGGCTCGAGCTATTCTCATGTCTCAGCCTCCCACATGGCTGGGATTACAGGCATGTGCCACCACACCCAGCTAATTCCACCCATTGGTATTTATCTAAGAAAAATGAAAACATAAATCCATAAATTTTTGTTTTTTATTAATAGTAGAGATGGGTTTCACCATGTTGGCCAGACTGGTCTTGAACTCCTGGCCTCAAATGGTCCGCCTGCCTTGGCCTCCCAAAGTGCTGGAATTGCAGGCATGAGCCACCACACCTGGCCCTCTTTTATCATTTATACTTCTACACATTCCCCATCCTCTACTCAATAATTTTTTTTAGGTAAAATTCATATACACTAAGATGCAAAAATAAGCTGTTATAGTTACAACCATGTAGCACACCTATCATAGTATAAAACATTTTTTTTTTTTTTTTTTTTTTGAAACGGAGTTTCGCTCTTGTTACCCAGGCTGGAGTGCAATGGTGCGATCTCGGCTCACCACAACCTCCGCCTCCTGGGTTCAGGCAATTCTCCTGCCTCAGCCTCCTGAGTAGCTGGGATTACAGGCACGCGCCACCATGCCCAGCTAATTTTTTGTAGTTTTAGTAGAGACGGGGTTTCACCATGTTGGCCAGGATGGTCTCGATCTCTTGACCTCGTGATCCACCCGCCTCGGCCTCCCAAAGTGCTGGGATTACAGGCTTGAGCCACCGCGCCCGGCCTATGTTTTCATTTTTCTTGGATAAGTACCAATGGGTGGAATTGCTGGATCAATAGATGTGTATTTAACTTTATGTATATATTTAGTTATTTATTGTTTTATTATTTTGAGATGGAGTTTCACTCTTGTTACCTAGGCTGGAGCGCAATGGCTCAATTTCAGCTCACCGCAACCTCTGCCTCCCAGGTTCAAGTGATTCTCCTGCCTCAGCCTCCCAAGTATCTGGGATCACAGGCTTGTGTCACCACACCCAGCTAATTTTGTATTTTTAGTAGAGCCAGGGTTTCTCCATGTTAGTCAGGCTGATCTCAAACTCCCAACCTCAGGTGATCTGCCTGCCTTGGCCTCCTACAGTGCTGGGATTACAGGTGTGAGCCACCATGCCCAGCCTGTTTCTTTATTTTTTTGAGACAGTTTTGCTTTTGCTGCCCAGGCTGGAGTACAATGGCGCCATCTCAGCTTACCACAACTTCTGCTTACTGGGTTCAAGCAATTCTCCTGCCTCAGCCCCCACGTACCTGGGATTACAGGCATGCGCCACCATGCCCAGCTAATTTTTCATTTTTAGTAGAGATGGGTTTCTCCATGTTGGTCAGGCTGGTCTCGAACTGTCGACCTCAGGTGATCTGCCTGCCTCCCAAAGTGCTGGGATTACAGGCATGAGCCACCACGCCCAGCGCATGTTTAATTTTTTTAAAAATTGCCAAACCTTTTTCCTAAAGTGTTTATGTCATTGTACATTGCCACTGACAAAGGATGGATATGTCTGTGGTTTGTAAGTTTAGATAAACAGATACAAGAAGCTTTTTCTTATAGGAAATGGCTTATAGGAACATCTCAATATTAGTTATTATTCCACAGAATGTAAGATGACCTTGAAATATATACTCGTCATCAGTTTGTTGTTTTTATGTGGCTTCTAAGGAGTTGTGGAAATTATTTTAGTCCTTATAGTAAATCAGCTGATGTGGTTATATAGATAGTATAATTGTTGCCTTTCTGAGAACAAATACATTACTGAGTGTCCTAGATTTATACATTTTGGAACTCTGTTTATAATTTCCAGAGTCCTTTTAGGAACCCCTGTCTGTGATTCCTAGATACATTCTCTTTAACACCTAGTGGTTTTAGCAGTGAATATCTGTCACCACTATTGTGGTCAGGGGGATTTCACAGCAGGTAATCTAAATGGAATGGTTGGAATGAAACTCCACTAAGGTGAGTAATGTTTGTTGCTTTCCAAAGCATATTGCAGTTAAATTATTCAACAATAAATCTACCTTTGCACCATTGTCAGGTATTAATGTGAGTCGTTTGTTCTGTTTTAGTGATGTCCTTGCATTGCCCATTTTTAAGCAAGAAGAGTCAAGTTTGCCTCCTGATAATGAGAATAAAATCCTACCTTTTCAATATGTGCTTTGTGCTGCCACCTCTCCAGCAGTGAAACTCCATGATGAAACTCTAACATATCTCAATCAAGGTTAGATGCTTCCTCATTCATTAGTACTATTACAGGCCTACTGGATTTATGATGTTTTATTAGGTATGCTTATATGTAAAAATTTAGATCTTTCTAGTATGGCCTATCAAACTAGAAGTCTTATTTCAGAGATTTGAGTTCTCATGTCATGTTTGATATCTGTTACTAGCTCCTTTTGCTTAGCTGCCCATCTTTAGTTCCCAGCTTCCTCTTCCTAATCATGTTCCCTAGATACTCCCATTGGTTACTGTCTGAGAAGTATTACTCTACCTGGCTCTATTATTTACCAATTGTGTGGCCTTGGACAAGTTGGTAAAACTCTTTTAAGTTTCAATTTCTTTGTCTGTAAAATGGGATTGATAATACCTTAGAAAGGTATATTAGTTAAATGAGATAATGTGTAAAAATACTTAGCACAGTGCTGAGCATCTAGTAAAGGTTTCTGGTTGTTGTTACTAATACTAATAATATTATACTCTTGTATATTCAACTAACTGAATTCTATTCTTTCTGAATCTGGCAAAGTTAATTTGTGATGAATATAATATATAATTACTTTTTCTTCTAGGACAGTCTTACGAAATTCGAATGTTAGACAATAGGAAACTTGGAGAACTTCCAGAAATTAATGGCAAATTGGTGAAGGTAAAATGAATAAATCATTCTTCTGTACAATATTTTTTACTAATCCTTTTGGGATTTTAAATTTTATTTTTTTGTTAATGTTCTTTTGCTTCCATAAAGGGCTTGATGATATCCCTTGCCTGCAATCATTTGTTGGCATAGTGGTAAACAGATGTGTTATTTCTTTGGGGTCAGAGTAAGTAAGCCCCCCTATTCACTTGAATTTTTCAGAGCTACAGAAATAGAATGCTCACCATGCCCTGTCCAGGGTAATCCCCTGGCTCAGTGAAGTTCTTTTGGGTGGAGTAAAGTAACTTCCTTGAGGTCTTTAGAGAAGCCTCAGTGTTTTTTTTTTTTTTTTGGATACTTGGTCTTATAGCAAGGAAAACAGAAACTACTGTTGATGAAGAGCAGTTCTCTTAGTCTAGACTGACAGGATTTTGATAATTCACAGCACAACTGAGACAGAGGAGTTTTGTCAAAAGGTGGTGGGAGGGGGCCGGGCGCGGTGGCTCAAGCCTGTAATCCCAGCACTTTGGGAGGCCGAGGCGGGTGGATCACGAGGTCAAGAGATCGAGACCATCCTGGTCAACATGGTGAAACCCCGTCTCTACTAAAACTACAAAAACATTAGCTGGGCATGGTGGCGCGTGCCTGTAATCCCAGCTACTCAGGAGGCTGAGGCAGGAGAATCGCCTGAACTCAGGAGGTAGAGGTTGCGGTGAGCCGAGATCGTGCCATTGCACTCCAGCCTGGGTAACAAGAGCGAAACTCCGTCTCAAAAAAAAAAAGGTGGTGGGAGGAATTAATTAACAGGCACTTCTACAAAGTAAGAGTAACAAAAGGAAAGTTGATGGAAACAGACTTTACCTACCCTCAGTATGTATAGGTTGCATGGTGGATTAGCAAGCAGGGGACTTGATGAGTTCTTCATATACATCTGAAGAGCTAAGCCAGATAGGCCATGGTGTGACAGAAGAGACATGCAGAAATGCTTCAGACAGGAGTACTTTGTGCCTAGTTACCATAGGACTGAAATTTAAGCCAAGTTTTAAATATGGTACCAGTTAACTGTAAAGATACCTGAGAAATTGGCCAGGCGTGGTGGCTTATGCCTGTAATCCCAGCACTTTGGGAGGCCGAGACAGTGGATCACCTGAGGTATGGAGAAACCCCATCTCTACTAAAAATACAAAATTAGCTGGGTGGGGTGGTGCATGTCTGTAATCCCAGCCACACGGGAGGCTGAGGCAGGATAATCGCTTGAATCTGGTAAGTGGAGGTTGCAGTGAGCCAGGATCATGCCATTGCACTCCAGCCTGGGCAACAAGAGCAAAACTCCATTTCAAAAAAAAAGAAAAGATTGTATCTGAGAAATTATAAAATTTATCCTGAAATAGTACTTGGTATGGTATAGGTTTTAGAGTGAAACAGATCTTAAGAAAAATCATTTTAGATTGTGGTTAGAAACCAGCTGGCAGTGAGTCCTGCTAGTTTTCCTTTGTCAGCACTGATTTGCAAGAGGTCCTGTTATCTGATTTTGTTGCATCCTTTTAGAGTATATTCCGAGTGGTGTTCCATGACAGAAGGCTACAGTACACTGAGCATCAGCAGCTAGAGGGCTGGAGGTGGAACCGACCTGGAGACAGAATTCTTGACATAGGTGAGTTAAAAGAGAATCTATTGCCTAGGAAATGCCTTTTGCTATGGGCTGAGAATTGGTTTTCTTGACATTTACCTTGATTCATATGCTTGAGAGGCTCAGTTAGTATAAACCTTGAAATTATTTACCAAGCATAAAAAATTCAGTAATACAAGTTAAAATGATATCAAAATTAGAGTTGGAAGTGTAAACACTTCAGTGCCATAGCAACTGTAGGTTGATTTTGTTTTGTTTTTTAAGTTGTGGTAAAATATACATTTCATAAAAGTTATCATTTTAACCATTTTTAAGTGGATAGTTCTGTAACATTAAGTACATTCACATTATTATGTAACCATTACTACCATCCATCTCCAGAACTTTTTTTCATTGCAAAACTAGAAGACTGTGCCTGTTAAACAATAACTCCTCATCCTCCCTTCTTCACAGGCCCTGGTAACCACTATTCTCCTTTCTGTCTCTATGAATTGGACTGCTAAGTACTGCATAAATGAAATCCTATAGTATTTGTCCTTTGGTGACTGGCATTTTTCACTTAGCATAATGTTTTCAGGGTTCATGGGGTAACATACATTAGAATTTCCTTCCCGTGTAAGGCTGAATAATATTCCATTGTGTGTATATACCACATTTTGTTTATCCATTCATCCCATGATACACACTTAATTTGATTCCACTTTTTGTCTATTGTGAATAACGCTGCTATGAACATGGATGTACAAATACGTGTTTGAGTCTCTGCTTTTAATTCTGCTGGATACATATCCAGAAATGGAATTGCTGGATCATATGGTAATTCTATCTTCAGTTTTTTTTTAGAAACCACTATATTATTTTCCACAGTGACTACACAGTTTACATTTATACCAGCAGTACTGAAAACTTCCGATTTCTCCAGTCTTGCCAACACTTGTTGCTTTCTATTTTTTTATAATATCCATCCTAATAGTTGTGAAGTATCTCACTGTGGTTTTGATTTGCATTTCTCTGATAATTAGTGATGTTGAGCATCTTTGCATGTACTTATTGGCCATTTATATATATATATATATATATATTTTTTTTTTTTTTAAATGTCTATTCAAATCTTTTTCCCATTTTTGAATTGGATTGTTTGTTTTTTAGTTATTGAGTTGAAGGAATTCTTCACATATTCTGGATATTAACCCCATAGCAGATATATCACATGCAAATATGTTCTCTTATTCTGTGGGTTGCTTTTTCACTATGTTAATACTATGCTTTGATGCATTAAAGTTTGACATTTTGAGGTGGTCCGATTTATTCAATTTTTAAATTGCCTGTGCTTTTGGTGCCACATCCAAGAAATCATTGTCAAATTCAGTGTTAAGAAACTTTTCTCGTGGCCAGGCACGGTGGCTCAAGCCTGTATTCCCAGCACTTTGGGAGGCCGAGGCGGGTGGATCACGAGGTCAAGAGATCGAGACCATCCTGGTCAACATGATGAAACCCTGTCTCTACTAAAAATACAAAAAATTAGCTGGGCATGGTGGCGCGTGCCTGTAATCCCAGCTACTCAGGAGGCTGAGGCAGGAGAATTGCCTGAACCCAGGAGGCCGAGGTTGCGGTGAGCCGAGATCGCGCCATTGCACTCCAGCCAGGGTAACGAGCGAAACTCCGTCTCAAAAAAAAAAAA